TTCATCTATAGGTTATATTAACTTTGTCTTGTTATTAAACTTTCATATTCTATTAGCTTAGAACCGTACAATACCTAACTTTGCTCTGAATTTAATGGTTACAACGAATATACTAAAACACAGCCAAAAAGATAGATGTTCGCAAATATGTAAAATATGGTGATGTTGATGTAGGCCTTCTTAAATTGCAAATAAAAGTATTCAAAAAAATATATTTTTTTTACAAGATAACGTAGTCACAATTAAAACAAAAGGTAATAATAAAAATAAACCTAAGAGTACCATATGTAATTTTTCTCTCTCTCAAACCTAATAGTACCCGAAAGTACTTGGAATCATAATGACGTCAAACACACAAACTTACTTATTTACACATGTAACTAAATATATAAAAATCATCATAATATTTTTTTCCCTTTCATGCTCAAAGACACAGGGAGAAGACGAAGTAGAGTTCAACTGTTAGTATGCACATCAAATGCTCTACCGTCTTAATTTCAGTAACGTGTGTCAGGTACCCATAAAAGCTGAGTGGACTTGAGCCTGGAATCTGAACAACCCTAGACTTTTGGGTTGGCAGTCGTGAAGTGATATATCAATACACTCTACATTTTGTTCAGATTCGTCTTCTTCTTCGTTAAAAATTTAAGTATTGGAAAGGACCCCCTTCAACACAAATGAGTATACGTGTCAACTGGTTATGCGCCATAGAGGCCATTTACTCCTATTTCAACCTTCTTTTCTTTTTGGATTTGCTTCCATAGCCTTTGTCCAACCAAGAACAAACTACAAGGCAGCAGTTGTTTGATTTTGGAGTTACCTCTCCTAGAAGAGTGGCTGTCCCCAGCTAACGAGCCTCATCTGCCCGAGGGTTCGAATTCGAGATTTTTCGGTTTAGCAGCCATGAGCTTTACCGACCCGACCACTCGACTCCTACTTTTGGTTCAATTTAAAACTATTTACTACTGATACATGGGAAACCCTAGACTGAAGGGAATAATGCTGAACACATTATCCCTTCATATGCCGAGGTCAAGAAACAAAATTAACTCTACTTCATATGCCCGATATATCGCTGACTCTAATGAAGAATTTTCACAACAGCTACATTTTTAAAGCAAGAAAAAGCGTGTTTTTGCGTGAGTTACTTTTCTCGTGTTGTGTAGAATGTCCATCGGTAAGGAAAACAACGTAGTCCTGTGCATCAGCCCTTCCCCCTGCTTTGGTACCGAACATATCATGCTTAAGTATCCTCTCTAATGCCATGTGTGAGTTGGAAAGTCCGTGCCCTAACTTGGCTTTTTGTAAGGCCTACACATGGATAATTTTAAAGACAGACATTTGTGTTAGTCAATGAAAGGGTACACCAGAAAGCTCAAAAATATTGTAATGAAAATAAAATAATTTTGTTTTTTAAAACTTATTCTTCAAACATAACTACCAAACATTTTACTATTAAACTGATGCAACGAATAGATTTAAGACAAACATTGTTTATGGTTTCCGTTAACGTATGATTAGGCAAGGCAGGGCTAAGGTTAGGGTTAGAGTAAAAAACCTAAAAAACTAAAACAAGTTTGTATCTAAAACACGAGATCTCGTCAGTAAACTTTAATAAATATTGAACCAAACCATAACCTTTTTTGATAACCGGCAGGACAAATGAACTATATATATATATATATATATATATATATATATATATATATATATATACATTTACACATAAATACATAAGTACATATATATATATATATATATATGATTCATGTATACATGTATACATACACAAATATATGTATTTATATTTATTTATAAATGTATATATATATATGATTTGTATGTATAGACACATTATGTGTATATGTATAAATGTATATAAATAGGTATATATATATATATATATATATATATATATATATATATATATATATATATATATATATATATATATATAATTTATAAATATCTATTTTAAAATGGTGTCCCACACAGCTACTCGCTGCGCTGAGTACCTTTTCCATATCATCGGCGTTTGAATGATCATCGAGGTCGAACACTTTCGAGGCAGTTACGCTGTACGTCATCGCGCCCACCCTCGTGCTTCGCTGACCAAGCGGGAACTGCCGGACCAACTGGCTGAAGAATTTGAGCTGCTTGTGCCAGAAGTGAACGCAGATGCTGGCGGAGGCGTCGATGACGAAGATGATGTCGAGCATGGTGTGCTTGCTGCAACTTTTTCCCGATTGCGGATTTTGTATAGCTGTTATACCTGAGAACATTACGTTATAAAGATGCTTGAGACTATGACCGATTAAACTTTATCAAGCCTTAGACAGTAGCATTGCTAAACCGAAAATCTAACATGCAGTTCCATATATATATATATATATATATATATATATATATATATATATATATATATATATATATATATATATATATATATATATATATATATATGTATGTGTGTGTGTGAGTGTTTAAAAATAAATTCAATTCCAATACAGTTTTGCACTTATGTTTATTAAGCGGTGATGACATATTGTTCTAAATATTTATTTTCAAATACAAAGTAATTTCCGATGTAAATGTTTCCTTCAAAGAAGAACATCCATCTCGACCTAATGTTAAAAACAAAATAAAAAATCATGAACGCATATATTTTTACTACATTTACATTATTCTAATGTAACTACAGCTTAAAAGTCGACTATTCAATAAGTAACTTCAGTCCTTAATGAAATTCAAATAAACAAAAAAAAAAAAAAGAAAACATAAATAGTACCTTTAAGATTTCTTTTTCTTTTTAGATACTGTGTAAAAAAGCACAATATTTTTCTTACATATATTTAAATGTATATTAATTAACAATTAAAAACAACAACTATTCATTCAAAATAAAAACTGCCTTTAAAATGTACTTTATAAAAAATTATTTTGAACCTTGATATATCAGAAAAAGCATTTCTAAAAAAAAAAAAGCAACTATGTCCTCATGCAAAAGACTCACCAGGTTTACATTTAATAATACATACAGTTTACATACAATGAAAGTACTAAATATAAATTTAAAATACAGAAAGTTTACACATAAAACCCAGTATACAAAGTAACATTTTTTTTTACAAAATTGTCACATACATAGCTTAAATGTAACAGATGTCTTAACATACGTGAACCGTTATGTTTTTTACACCTAAGACACACACAACTAAGGTGAGCTACCAAAAAACACAAACTTGACTTACAAAGACGAACCAAGTTAACACACAAAACCGTCAAGTTTTATTAACAAAAGAAAAAATCTACGTACAAAACACAAAGACACGTACAAAACACACAGTCAAATTAAACAATCGATGTACAAAACAGTCAAAATACACAATCTACGTACGAAACATACAGTCAAAATACACAATCTACGTGAAAATCAGACAGTCAAAATACACAATCTACGTACAAAAGACACAACCTCCTCTAATAAACACAGCTTAGGTACAAAATACAAAACGTACGTACAAATCACACAACCTACTTACAAAGCAAACGACGTACGTACAAAACACACCACCTACTACCAATGACAAAACTAGCTTACAAACCACACTACCTACTTACAAAACACACACCCTACGTACAAATCACACTTTTTACGTACTAAACTCACAACATATTAACATACACAACTGACATCAACAATACCCACCAACTCTTTATATACATTAATACATATACACATAATGTGTCTATACATACAAATCATATATGTATACATTTATAAATAAATATAAATACATATACATGTGTATGTGTGTATGTATACATGTATGATATATATATATATATATATATATATATATATATATATATATATATATATATATATATATATATATATATATATATATATATATATATATATATATATATATATATATATATATATATATATATATATATGGATGTAGCCCTATATGTATACATATAAAAAAAAAAAAAAAAAAAAAAAAAAAAAAACGCCCGCGCAAACAGAAAACACACACAAGAAATTCTACCTGTACAGAGATTGCTAGCTAAGAATTTCTGTGGAAACCAGGCATTGTCCTTGACACTATTCAACAAAATTATGTCCCCTGGCCTGTGGGTTAGTGTTTCCAAAAGCTCGTAGGAAATATCGTATCCGATACCCACGAACACGAACCTGGTTCCAGCTTTCTTCATTTTCTCTACAGCTACCTTAGCTATGGTTTTTGGAAGAGAATATATACGTTTAGCCCTCGGCGAATACGTAGAAAATTATATAAAACTTATATAAAAATTATTAAAAAATTATACCCAGATATTCGTTCATCTATAGGTTATATTAACTTTGTCTTGTTGTTAAACTTTCATATTCTATTAGCTTAGAACCGTACAATACCTAACTTTGCTCTGAATTGAATGGTTATATAAACAGTTATAATATTTTTACAACGAATTACTAAAACACAGCCAAAAAAGATAGATGTTCGAAAATATGTAAAATATGGTGATGTTGATGTACTTAAATTGCAAATAAAAGTATTCAAATATTTTTTTTTTACAAGATAACGTAGTCACAATTAAAACAAAAGGAATTAATAAAAATAAACCTAAGAGTTCCATATGTAATTTTTTCTCTCGCAAAGCTAATAGTACCCGAAAGTACTTGGAATCATAATGACGTCAAACACACAACCTTACTTATTTACAAATGTAACTAAATATATAAAAATCATCATAATATTTTCTTCCCTTTCATGCCCAAAGAGACATGGAGAAGATGAAGTAGAGTTCAACTGTTAGTATGCACATCAAATGCTTTACCATCTTAATTTCAGAAACAAGTGTCAGGTACCCATAAAAGCTGGGTGGACTCTGGGACATCGTTTTGTCTCGAGACTGGAATCTGAACAACCCTAGACTTTTGGGTTGGCATTCGTGAAGTGATATATCAATACACTCTAATTTTTGTTCAT